GCCATCTTTATCGCCACTAGGTAGGCCTTAATATGCGACCTTACCAGTGTTCAATCAGATTCAGCGAGACTGGCCCTCCAACCGCTCTCCAGGCATCTTTTCCGGCGCTTCATTTCCCTCAGTTCCTCAGTAAACCAAAGAGCCGCCCGGGATCGGCACCGGGTCAGAGGCCGCAAAGGCACGACTCGGTCCAAGGCCCCACCAGCCGCCCGATCCCAGGCGGCTACCAGGTCCTCGGCTGAATCATGTGCTAGATCCTCAGGAAATGGCCCAAGCTCCATCTGGAACCTATCAGAATCCATCAGGCGCCTGGGGCGGATCCATTAATTGGGTCCGCCTCCCTGCGGCGGGGGTAGTTCGAAGATCCAGGCGAAGGAGTGAGTGGTCAGTCCATGACAAGGGTTCCATGTCTATATCCCCTATAACAAGACCACTCAACCACTGGCCAGAGTGAAATGAAATGAAAAGACTAGCTGGTCATAATGTAAACTATAGTTTTCTACTTGCGCATTTACTTCCACCTCTGACCATGCTAGAATAGCTATAAATAGAGTTTGAAACAAACCCTACTGTATTAAGCTAGCTTGTTTTCACCTATTAACATTATCATTAAGACTAATGACAGTTTATGTTTTGCAGTTATAAATTGCAAACTTCAGATCCTAATCTAAAACAGAACCATAAACTTCCAACGTCTTCTTCATAGTTGCACCTGAATAGGGAGCAAAAAGGAAATGAACAAGACAGCCCAGAAAAGATGTTGGGCTCTAAAGGTCATATTTTATGTCCAACATAGCTATAAACACATATGGCTATGTATTTGAAGTATTTTGTACACTTCAAAAATGTCATATAAAGGCACAACCTTTCTCTCTGGAAAGAAAACTTTGTGGATGGCAACAGGATTGTAACCGTTGAGGATTCCTAGAAGCACAGAGAAAGAAGGTATATATATCAATAAGCCTACGTAGAAAAACAAATTAAGAACCATTATCACCCTTAAAAATTGTCAAAAGATTACATGTGAATGCTGACAAGGAAGTAGCAGAAAATTAGGAGAGAGAATTTAAGGCAGGGTTCTCAAACTTGCATCATCACGGCAGTGTCACGTGACATATTGCAACTTTTCCCCCCTTTGCTAAACAAGGCATGGGCATGGCCAACGTGTGATGCATCCGGCCCACGGGCCACAAGTTTGACACCCCTGATCTAAGGGAACTTCTGTGCTTAAGTGCTTTCTGCTAATATAACACATCTGGTGCAATGACCCATTAGATTGATGTATTCTGGCTCCTTCCATGAGTAAAATTTATGATGAAGTCTATCCTCAGCTAGAGAAGCTCACTTGGGCCAGTTATTATTTTTCAGCTTAGCCTTCTACAAACAATTCTTCTTGGGAGGATAAAATGAAAAATGCATGTACTACTGTATAAGCTTCTAAAAAAAGCTGGTATATATATAAACCTAATGAACAAATTAAGAACAATAACTATAAAGCTCCTACCATTTTATAAATGTTAATAAGGTAATATCTAATACATGGAGAGTTATATTGTGACAGTATCCAATAGTTGGGTGGTGTTATTCATCCTGTTAGGACATGCTTACTGTTCTTTTACATAGCTGATCAGAAAAGATAACTCACTTTTCACACAGACAGAAACCTTCCCACAGAAAAATAAGAGCTGATGTGCAGGCAAATAGGAGGATGGAGCTAGAAGACTTATGAAAAATTGAGGAAAGGAGGAGAAAAATTATAGTTGGTGTATCAAAACTTTGCCAGAACAAAAATAGAAAACCTAGTAATGCTTGACAAGGAGCACATAAATCAAGTATCTCTTTTACGGTGTTATTACCACATATCAGAAAGACTTGAAAGGAGGTGGGAGAATGGGGAACAGCCTCATACAAGAGACATATGGAAATGCTTTAGGTAAATGCCATTTGACTTACATTAAATCTCCCTTTTTCCTTTCAAAACAGAATCTTAATCATAGGCATAAAGTTCAGACATTTCAAGCAACTTTCCAAGATAGTTCCAAGTTAATGTTATTATTCATGAAGATGGACTAACAAAAAGAGTAAACTTATTATAGGTAAAATTGTCATGGAGAAAAATATTACGCATTCCAAAAGCTTGACATTGGATTTACATAGTGTTTTACCCTAACAGAAAGTGTTACGGTGTTGTCATTTTTATTATTTTTTAGATAATTTTTAAGATAACTAGTTGGGTCATTGTTTCAGACATATTTTCTTATTTAAGCAGAGAAACAGAGATGCCAAGGATGAACCAAAAAGCAGTGGGAATAGGAGTGACTTCCAACTTTCCCATTGAGTTTCTTTGTGAAATGGAGCATCAGAAATCTTCCTTCCTTCCTTCCTTCCTTCCTCCCTCCCTCCCTCCCTCCCTCCCTCCCTCCCTCCCTCCCCAACAGGTAAGTAAATGGCTGCTAATGGGTGGAGGAGTGAGGGATTGTGAGACTGGCTAGGAAACTGCCACAGAAAGTTGAAGATGAAGATCATGTGACCACAGCAGCAGCATGGCAGTTGCCAGTAGCACTGAAGCAGCCACAGCTTCTACAAATTTCATTTGTACAGGAGTCATGGGCCCACATTTTGGACCCATTTTGTAAATCAGCCATTTGAAGTACCTTGGTTCAAAAATTGTTGCCCTATAATGCACTGTTTCATTCAGTTAACGGTCATGACAGTAATAGTATATAGATTTTCTTGGAGGATAAACCAAAGACTGTGTTTGTTACACAGACAGCTTTTGACAACCATCTTTCTCCAACAAAAAGATTGTTTGATTCTGAAAGGCACAAATTATAGCTATGTAAAAGCTATTTAAAATGAGGCCATAATTCAAGGAAATTTTTTCTCCCATAGTCCTCAAATGCCTATTGCAAAATACAAGAGAAAAGAAAAGCCTTTTATATTTTCAGAACTAATACTGTTTACAGTTCTACAAAGAGCCTAAAGAAAGGAGAGAACTTGACAGTACTGTTTAGCCATCAGCCTATCAAATTCAAAATGTTGGAGAATAAAGACAAAAATTATAAATGAAATAGATTTTCAACACAAAGATGCTAAATAAAGAAGACTAGCAGATTTACAGTAGCTATAGCTTTGCTTTTGTACTTTCCAAGAGCTCTTATGACAAGCTCAGTCTTTTTTCCCATATAAATGCTACTTGTAGGAACGTACATATGAAGTCTGATAATCCAAATTTAATAAAATCAATTCATCTGGTTTACTTTGATATCCTTTATTTCAAAAGTTGGACATTATTTGAATCCCAAGGCCAACATCAGGGTTTTTGTTCCTGCTGTAAGCCATGCTTTGTTGATTTATAGCCTCTGAAATATGTCTGACAACTCAATGAAGTCAAGCAGTTTTTCCTGTGTTTTTTTTAAACTCTGAGATGATGTTTGATGCTTGTGGGATACTTAATGCACCAATTTCCAGGTTTTTTAGGACAATGCACCACCAACTGGAGGTATATTTGGGAGTGCACCAAGGACTGCAGAATGGAAGACAAGGGCATGTGCTCCAAGGGCTACCAGTTGCTCACCCCTGCTGTAATGGAACAAATGCCTATATATTTACGTTCACTGAAATACAATTACTGATTTAGTTGACTTTTAAAAGTTCCTCCTCCTCATTATTTTAGAGTTATTAAAGCAATGTGATTAAATTAAAATATTCAGAGAAAGGAGAGCCTGCCATTACTCTTGATAATTGGATCCACAATGTTTGCTAACTCAGGTGAACTTTATCTTCTTGTAACTTAAATTCTTTATTTTACTGTACTTCTGAGGTAGCTAAGGGGACAATTAAGGTGTAGGGGGCTTTTGTTTTACTGCCTGTTTTTATTACTGCTTTATAGTCCATTGGTTTTATTGTTGTGAGCCACACAGAGTTGGGGACCCATAGAAATCTTTTAAACAAATAAAAATAAATAACAAGAGCATTGATCTTGAGCTATTTCTGTGTGATATGCTTTCAGTGGTATCCTTTCTCTCCTCAAATTTAAACATACCCACTTTCTTCAGTCTCTCTTCATGAAATTTAATTTTAATTGTCAATTATTCATATTACTAGAAGTGTACAGAATGCTTGCTGTGAACTGCTTCAAGCTTGAAATTTCATAAAGAATACTCTCTTAAGTGCAATTTAGGCTGTTCTTAGTGAGTTGTTCCAGGCATTTGAGGAAGCTTTTGAGCTCAAAACAGAGGCACCCCCAATTGAGAAATTTGTCACAAGATCAAAATGCTTCTGAATGCTCAAGGCAATCTGTTTTGTTCTTAAAGGACAGCTTTTGACTCAGAGAAGGATGTTTTATGACATTTGGTGCTCAAGACATTTTGAAATGAAAACATTTTGCACACCCCTACTCGTTGCCCTTCTATGAAATTGTTTGCCTGATGAATCATTGTTAAAGGGTGGTGCCTGATACTGAACACAAGATTTGAGATTAGGTCTGACAAATGACAATAGATTAAAAGCATCATTTCCTATGATTTAGAAGCAATATTTCTATTGCATCTAAAATGGCATATATGCAGACATATCATATTGCTGATTCATGTCAGGACAATTTCAAGATCCAAATAGTTGTATTTTTTTCCAAATCTCACCAATGGTTCTCTTCAGATACAAACTAAGTCAATGATTTTGTATTCTATGATTAAGACTTTTTTATGTCCACCCCCTTTCCCCTATATATTCTAATTCTATTAAGTTACTTTCTCTTACACTGCATACCAAAGTCATGAGATAAATCCAAACTATATACTTGTTCTCCAAAAACGATATGCAAGCTAACCATAGAGATTGTAAGCCTATTAAGAGAGAAACGTGTAATTTCACATTAAAAAATAATATATAAAAAAGGAAGGTCTGTATTTTAATACAAGTTCATTTTTAATATGTACATTTCTTAAAGACAATATCAGTTTCTTTTCAAACACAAATGAAATAATTTTGTTACTTACGATAATCTCTATGAATGTCATCTATTTCATTCTCTGTCTGGTGCTTTGAAAATACCATACTCTGCAACAATAGCACAAACATTATTTTTAAAGGTTAATAGATGAAAGATGTAAATCTGCAGCTGAAAGATTTTAAGACATAATTATCTTGGAACTAAAAAAACTTTTCTGCCCATCAATATTGTTTTAGCATTTAATTTTTAGAGGCTTATTTAGAGGACAGGTCTTTTTTAAAAAAAAATCATAGAAAATTGATGACACATACCCTGTTATTATGAGCAAAGCCCTAAAGCTGCTACTACATAATCTCAAAGTGATATGAGATGCCTTCAGAACAACAAATTTATACCTTGGAATTTGTATTTTTGTCTGCAAGGAAAACCTTTTTCAGAATCTTCAGAGTATTATTCAAAAAGGAAAAAAAAATAAGAATCCATGATAGTGAAAATGACTTTGGCCATTCCACTACAGTTTTCACAACTGATTGCTGAATGCAAACAAAATCTAGTCAATGGATTCCACAGGATCGTCCTTTTTCCACTTTCCTTCTTAAGCAGTAACAGTGGCACACAGCCTCAAAAACGTCACATTCAAAACTTTTGAACTTTGTTGAGATCAGCTCCCACATGCAGTGGCAAAAAAAAATAAAAAAATCCTTAAATAGGATAAATAGGAATACAAGATTTATGACAGCTATAACAGTCTCATTTCCATATTTAACCTCCTCAGATTACAGGTGAAACTCGAAAAATTAGAATATCGTGCAAAAGTTCATTTATTTCAGTAAGGCAACTTAAAAGGTGAAACTAATATATGAGATAGACTCATTACATACAAAGCGAGATAGTTCAAGCCTTGATTTGTCATAATTTTGATGATGATGGCTTACAGCTCATGAAAACCCCAAATTCACAATCTCAGAAAATTAGAATATTGTGAAAAGGTTCAATATTCTAGGCTCAAAGTTTCCCACTCTAATCAGCTAATTAAGCCATAACACCTGCAAAGGGTTCCTGAGCCTTTAAATCCTCTCTCAGTCTGGTTCAGTAGGAATCACAATCAGGGAAAAGACTGCTGACCTGACAGTTGTGCAGAAAACCATCATTGACACCCTCCATAAGGAGGGAAAGCCTCAAAAGGTAATTGCAAAAGAAGTTGGATGTTCCCAAAGTGCTGTATCAAAGCACATTAATAGAAAGTTATGTGGAAGGGAAAAGTGTGGAAGAAAAAGGTGTACAAGCAGCAGGGATGACCGCAGCCTGGAGAGGATTGTCAGGAAAAGGCCATTCAAAAGTGTTGGGGACTTTCACAAGGAGTGGACTGAGGCTGGAGTCAGTGCATCAAGAGCCACCACACACAGACGGATCCTGGATATGGGCTTCAAATATCGTATTCCTCTTGTCAAGCCGCTCCTGAACAACAAACAACGTCAGAAGCATCTTACCTGGGCTAAAGACAAAAAGAACTGGTCTGTTGCTCAGTGGTCCAAAGTCCTCTTTCTGATGAGAGCAACTTTTGCATCTCATTGGGAAACCAAGGACCCAGAGTCTGGAGGAAGAATGGAGAGGCACACACTGCAAGATGCATGAAAGTCCAGTGTGAAGTTTCCACACTCTGTGTTGATTTGGGGAGCCATGTCATCTGCTGGTGTTGGTCCACTGTGCTTCATTAAGTCCAGGATCAATGCAGCCATCTACCAGGAGATTTTGGAGATTCCTTCCACAGATGAGCTTTATGGGGATGCTGACTTCATTTCCCAGCAGGACTTGGCACCTGCCCACACTGCCAAAAGTACCAAAACCTGGTTCAATGACCAGGGGATTACTGTGCTTGATTGCCCAGCAAACTCGCCTGACCTGAACCCCATAGAGAATCTATGGGGCATTGCCAAGAGAAAGATGAGAGACATGATACCGAACAATGCAGAAGAGCTGAAGGCCGCTACTGAAGCATCCTGGTCTTCCATAACACCTTAGCAGTGCCAAGGCTGATAGCATCCATGCCATGCCGCATTGAGGCAGTAATTGATGCAAAAGGAGCCCAAACCAAGTACTGACTACATATGCATGCTTATACATTTCAGAGGTCCGATATTGTTCTATGTACAATCCTTGTTTTATTGATTTCATGTAGTATTCTAATTTTCTGAGATTGTGAATTTGGGGTTTTCATGAGCTGTAAGCCATAATCATCAAAATTATGACAAATCAAGGCTTGAACTATCTTGCTTTGCTTGTAATGAGTCTATTTCATATATTAGTGTCATCTTTTAAGTTGCATTACTGAAATAAATGAACTTTTGCACAATATTCTAATTTTTCGAGTTTCACCTGTATATTAAAACAAACTGAAAAATCATTCCCCAACTTCTCCAATAATGTTATTTCACCCAAAAATGTTCAATGGGCCATTGTTGTTGCTGTTAGTCACGAAGTCGTGTCTGACCCATCGTGACCCCATGGACAACTTTCCTCCAGGCCTTCCTGTCCTCTACCATCTCCTGGAGATGATTTAAGCTCATGCCAACTGCTTCAGTGACTCCATCCAGCCACCTCATTCTCTGCCGTCCCATTCTTCTTTTGCCCTCAATCATTCCCAGCATTAGGCTCTTCTCAAGTGAGTCCTTCCTTCTCATTAAGTGGCCAAACTATTTGAGTTTCATTTTCAGGATCTGGCCTTCTAAAGAGCAATCAGGGTTGATCTCCTCTAGGACTGACTGGTTTGATCGCCTTGCAGTCCAAGGAATTTGCAGGAGTCTTCACCACCACCATAGTTCAAAGGTTCATAGCACCTTTGACACTCAGCCTTCCTTATAGTCCAACTTTCACAACTATACACTGCAACTGGGGAAACCATAGCCTTGTCATGGCTCCTGACATAGAAACAATAAGCCAGGCTTTTCAGATTTCTAATACAGTACTTCAGATTTCAAGAGTATAAATGGAATTGTTGTATGGAAAGGGAGAATTGACCTACTAAGGCTCCATGTGCCCCAACAGCTATAGACTATATATACCTAGCTATCTGTATGATAACAGCACAATTGTGACATCATTTGGGATAGGGGCACTTAGAGTATATATTTTTAATAAAGAGGTTCACAAAGTACAAGATTTATTTATTCAGTAAATATCAGTCATGGAGAAGTGGGGAATAGTCAGGATAGACTAATTACTAAATACTGTTTTATAAAAAATGAACATAATCCTCCAGTTGCTCTACCATCCTGATATAAGGCCCAAGAAAAATGCAAATTAGAGGTGTTTCACTTTGTATTATGCTAAATACATGATCATCACCATCATCATCATCACCATTATAATTTATAAAATCAGATTAGGAAGAGAGTTTGTCAGATACTAAATTATCCATTTCTGCCATAAAAGCTTGGTGTTTCTCTCTACCTATCACTAGCTGTTTAGACATTAGTGATTTATACTTAATAAACCTTCTAGACATCAGGAGAGAGATTAGGCTAGAATTCTAAAATATAAGTACAAAATACACAGATTAAGTGAATATTCCTTCATTTATTCATTCATTTTGAAGGTAGGTTTCTAAACTTCCTTGCCATGCAATATGGATTTTTTTCAAACTGCACATGGTATCTCCATCAGCACATCAATGGAATCAGCAGCAATTTGATAGCTGGTGAAATTTTTCCTTTTACCATATATAAGCCTTTTTGTTGTTTTATTTCCCGCTGTTTTATGTTTCTATGTTTAAATAAATGGCTTTACTATTTTGCACAATCTAAAACTAAAATGGGCAGGACATAAATGCTTTAAATGAAAAACAAACAAACTTTCAAACCTTTAATTTGGTGGTGGCAATTAAATAGATGGAAGCAGTTTATCTAGCATGCAATTCAGTATTGGATGGTTTCTGACATTATTTCCCATCAATATAAACTTTAAGGATGGGCATACAATGCACATTTACTTGGCCTTTGCAATGACATTTCAAAAGTCAACTTTTGGTGGGGAGATTATTCAACAGGCATATGAACAGAAAATAACACAGGCAGAGATATATCAAGCAAAAGGGACACATGTATAACAAATATCTATCTACTGACTGCAGCACAGGCACTACAATGTGGCATGGTTCTTGTGCAGAAGGCACAAGATGTCTTGAGCAGAATAAAAGAGACTCCAAATGCAATCTTAACTCAAGCTTGAGTTCAGCAGGACATCAAATCTATGATTATCACATGATAAAAACCTTGGTCAGATCTTGCATCAAAATTATCCACACATATCTACCCACATGTATCTACTAATTTAGCATCATTATGCAAAAAAAAAAAAAAAATCCACTGTGGTTTTCTGATAGGTAGAATAATGTATTTAAATTTGTCTTCACCAGGACTAAAATTAAAGGTTATTAACTTACATCTTCTTTGGGTTTACTGGCATCAAGTTGTGCTTGAGTCTTTTCAATATTTTCCAGCTCTTTTACTATTTCCGCAACTGTTAGAATAAATAAACTTCATTAATAGCAATCTAGCACTCTGATAACTGTGACTATATCCCAGAATAAAATATTTTGAAGAGCACTCAATATTTGCAGTTATTATGCAAAAACTGGAATTGGTGCATGAAAAATGCATTATAAATGAGGGTTTTTTTACCATATGTAAATGGAATTAAAAAATGAACAGATATAGAGAAAAAGGTACGGTAAAACTAATAACTAACTAGGGGAGGGAAGACAGGTTCAGTGGAAACTGGTGAAAGAAGTAATTATTAGAAAAGGTTTGTTCTGTTCTTAACTAAAATCACTGTAAATGACTCCAGAGAGATTTCTCCAGAAATCCTTGATGGGGCAATGGTTCTGAGCTTTAAACTTTTCTCTGTAATCAATATAGTATTTTCTTACAAGATCCAAGAGCAAAAGAGAATGATATTCCAGAAGACAGATGGACAGATAGACAGATCTCCAAAACTATTTATCTCCCAACACTATCAGCAGCCAAAGTTCAAGGGCTAAGAGACTTGAGAACTGAAGTGTGCTGAGAGAGCTATGAACATTACCAACACATGTTTTGTGGAATACCAAGTTTTCTCCAAACAACACTTTTCATTTCTTAGCCACTGTTGATCAATACATCTCTATCTGGACATACTACTACAGGTATTTTTCAGACCGTACAGCTTGAAGATTTGGACAAACTGTTTGGAAGCTTAACACACACACATACATTTTTTTTAAAATTTAATTTATATGCCGCCCTTCTCCGGAGACTCAGGGCGGCTTACAATGCGTTAAGCAATAGCTTTCATACTTTTGTATATTTATACAAAGTCATCTTATTGCCTCCACAAAGTGGGTCCTCAATTTACCTACCTTAGAAAGGATGGAAGGCTGAGTCAACCTTGAGCCTGGTGAGATTTGAACTTACAGTAATTGCAGACAGCTTGATGTTAATAATAGTGCTTTAGTCTGCTGTGCCACCTTTGATCCTTCTAAAAACTGTCAGGGCTTGATAGCAATAGCACTTAGACTTAGACTTATATACCACTTCATAGTGTTTTACAGCCTTCTCTAGGTGGTTTACAGTCAGCATATTGCCCCCAACAATCTGGGTCTTCATTTTACAGACCTCAGAAAGATGGAAGGCTGAGTCAACGTTGAGCTGGTGAGATTTGAACCCCTGGCAGTCAGCAGAATTAGCCTGCAATACTACATTCTAACCACTGCACCATCATGGACCTTATAAGTGATTAAGATTAATGGAATGGACCTTATAAACAATTAAGTGATTAATAGTCTGAGGAGTAGCAGGGTGCCTGTTATTTTAATGATTCAGCAAAAAAAATGAAATTCCACAATATTTACTCTCATATTCTTTTAAAGTATTGAAGAATGTATTTCCTCTCAGGCTATGTGGCTATAATGCTGATTGTTTAGATTTGGTTTCAGATCCAAATGCAACAATCCCATCAATATTACAAGAACACAATAGTGTGAACAACTGGTATTCAAAACTACTGGCCATCCTTTTTGTAACTTATCTATTAATTCTCCTTGAGCTATTAGAGCTTTTAGAATCAGTATGGTAATTTAATAATAATTATTGTAATAATGTATTAAATTTATATGCTACCTGACTGATTTAGGTTGCAATGACACAGGAGCAATACAACGTTATGAAATTTAGTATTATCATGGATTGCTAAGGGCAATACAGAAATAATTAGCTCTCATCAATATGTAGATAACTTTCAGCCAAAAAGGAAGAACAATGCTTCAATTATTCATAGTTCGACCATACCTAGGCTGAACTCCATCCTTGCACTAGACTTCCTTTTCAACATAATTTGGAATCTTAATGACATGTTGCCAATTAATAGTATTAATAGTAATAGATAGTAATTAATAATATCATGCTATACTAATTACAATGGTTGTCAAAGTGACTCTGAACCCCGCCTTCATTTGTACCAACCTGCTGACACTGAGATCAGAATTAAAAGTTTTACACGTGCAATTATGCATCCACTGCTATGAACAATTAGGAGTCTGTTTTTCATGGGCCACTTAGCTGTGAAACAGTGGATATCTATTAAATTTCATCAACATAAGCATTCACTTCAACCCTAAAGACTCAACTGTTTAGCAGAGCCAGTTAATGATTTAGGACTACATTTTATCTATTTTATTTATTTATTTGTGTATTAAATTTGTACAGATGATCATCTGTCAAGTGGAAGGGATCATAATAACACAGTGAGTTGATCAATGTTACTTTCTTTAATTCTTGCATGCCTATTTACAAGAATCTCGCCAGACCAACTGCATTTTCCTGGGAATGGTTAGATAGGGCTTCAGGGGTTCTGGGGTAGGTAAGAACTGTGTCACTTCCAGCTGTGCAAGGATTCTAATTTTGGTCCCCTCTTCACACTTCCCCCCATTCTAGCTGGCAATTCCACCATACATTTCCCCAAAAGCAACTCTGAGTGGTACACAAACAATCAGATAAAAACCACTTATAATGTAAAAAACATAGATATCTACATTAAGAAATAGTATTAAAAAACATATATTATGTAAGCTAATGCAGTCTCGTTTTAATATTATCAATATTCATATATTTATCATTATATTCTATTTTGTAGTTTGACTTTTATTGTAGACCATGTAGCAGAAAAATCTGTTCTACATGGCAGCTTAAAAATATTTTAAATATATTAGTAAGATTACAAGCTTCTCATAACCTTTGGTTCCTGCATTAAAAGTTGCTAGAGCAGCCACTAGAAAATCTAGTCTGCCAGACTATAATATTTTCTACAGAACAGTTAGTTTCTTAAATGATTTGCATGATGGATATATTTCAGAATAACAACAGAGCTTCCTTAAGGACATTTATGTCCTCCTTAAGGACATTTATGACACTGTATATTAACTGTGGAAAAGTAAGATGCAATCCTGAAAGTTCACTAAAAACAAGACAAAGATTATTTAGTTGCCAACAACTTTCATTTGTTGAATTTATATATAATGGCAGAGAAGTAGGATCAGCAACAGCAGGATCCAAGAATTTATAAACACCCCTTTCAAAAGATCCATTGAGTACAGTGAAAATTAATGCAGGGAAATATGAACAGGATTATAGTTTAATTCAGCAAGTTCAGTTTCATACTGAATCCATGAAGATTCTTAGAGTTGGCATCCACAGAATGCCCTATTTCAAGGTTCTTGGGTTTGGTTACACTGAATTGTATATGCCACTTTTTATTTATCTGTTTGTGTTTTACCTGAAATATATCTAGTTCTATATTCAACAAAACACTGACATAAATTAAAAAAGCAAGCTCTTACTGTGTAAGTTTAAAAGAGTATCTGTCAACCCTGAAGCTGGCCTGACTGAGGCCATTTTGAGATTCAGTGCTGACATACTGGAGAAGAGGGATAGGGAGGGGAGAATGGAGATAATAGGGGTGTTGTAGTCAAAACAAAATACTTCCTCTTGGGAACCAAGGACATTTCTGCAGGTGCTCGGAAGGAGGGTACTGGAGGCACCTAGCAACTGGACAGTATCCTGATTGGACCATGTGACTGATTGTTTTGAGAAAGTGACAAACTTTTACTTTTAATTAGGTGAAAACCACGGGAAGAATCAGAGTCAGTTTTCACCAGCCTGTGCCAATATGACATATTCAATAAACCTATTCTTTGAGGAAATTGCCTTCCTCAGAGTTTTGTTTGCTACAGGTATGTTACTTGGAATATGGACAGAATCATGAAAATCACTTGTATTTCAAAATCTACACACTACTACAGTCGCATTAATATTGCCTGTTCCAGGTTTGTATATACTACTAGACAACCTGTGCTCCATTGGGTCATTGTTTCACAGACCTTACCTTAAGCATATTAAGCAGCATACTGTCTCCTCTATGTAGAAATGAGGCAGCTATGGTACTCCACAACCACCCAAACACATCATAAACCTTTTCCTATCATTCACGCATGTAGAGTATGATAGAGGACTCAAGACACCATCTGATTAAGACTTGGTACTACTTAATTCACTTTGGGAATCCATGTTACTTAGTATATAGTCACTAAAGAAGTAAGTATGATAGAAGAAACATACTAGGAATGGCTAAAGTCCACCACACAGTGGAGTTGAGCCTAGCCTCTATGAATATATGACACATGCACACCTTGTGAATCACTGTAATGTGTGAGAAAGTACACGTGAACCATCTTTTTCATAAATGATTTCATAAATCATTGTTTAAAGTTGGACTTTTTCGCAAACACTATTTATTAATGTATCAGGGAAAAGCAGCAAAGATGTGAACAAAGTACATGGATCTAAAAAAAGTTTCTCTTGTTCATAACACTAGAATCAAAAAATATCCGATGTATCCAAACAGTTATTGATTCAGCACAAAGGAACAACTTTTTTCACAGTAAACAATGTAAAACAGTAATGGTTATTAACATAGACAATCTTAAAAGAGGCTTAGATAAATTCAGAGATTAAGCCTAACAATGCCTACTAGTCATATTAGCTACACACTATTCTCAATTCTGGTTGCTAGGAAACTAAAGCAGGTATAATTTCATTCATATCTTGCTTTCCAGAGGCCTTTATTTCTCCTTCACGGACTAGTTAGGCCTTTGGTTTCATCCAGCACAGCTCTTCTTGAGTTTCTATCATGTTTCTCTACCTCTTGCTAAAATTTTAACAAATCAAATCACTTAGAACAGACTCTTCTGTTGTTGGCTCTGACTAACCGAAGCAGCTTAATCACAGTTATAACTGGTAAACTGTAAAATGCCTCCCTTTGCTGCAGACAAATACCTGTGCCCTTTGGTCATATTTTTCCCATTGTAGCATTAAAACACACTGAACCTTAGCAAAAAGGATGTCTCTGCTTTTAGCCATAATAGAATAAATATTTGTCAGAACTGAGTCAGCGATTCCCCCGCTAAGTTCTCTTTAGAGCACCATCACACTTTTAAAGTGTGCCTAATAATTATGTCTGTACCTTATACCAATGGAACAACCATGGAACCACTTACTCCTATTTTTCGGATTATCCATTTTCTATGCTTAAAAACAGAGCTCTTCAGATAGATATTCAGAGATGCTTGAAGATTTTGCCTCCCCAATGGTGACATTTCTAGGCCTTCGTGCTATTAAGATTAGGCTGTTGATGTTCTAGGTTGTAATTTTATGCCATCATAAGCCATCCACTATCTTTTGAAATTGGCAAGCAGGAACTATACAAGCCCCAATGAGAGAAACACAACAAATCTAAAATAAGATGCCTGAATTTCCACACATGGGAAAGAGACATCTGCAGCAATTAAAAATCAGAGACGAGTTTCACAATACACAGGAACATCACATGGAAGTAATTTTAAGTGCTAGCCAGTATAGAGGAGTGTGCTAGCCTTGAAGGAAGAGTACAAGAATAATTATCATCCACTTAGCTATGGGAAGGAAGATGGAGAAACTCATCCATTGAAACTCAAGATAATCCTGTCTTGAATCTCTTTAACATAAAAAAAGTGCATAAGGAAACTTTTAAGATTTTCTTACTATACCCTGTAACAACAGCAATTCAGTAGCAATAGAAATAGCCCTTAGTGTTCCACAGTGCTTTACAGCCCTCTCTGGGAAGTTGACAATGTCAGCATTATTTACATATTGCTCCAACAATCTGGATTCTCATTTTACCGACCTCGGAAATTTGGATGGCTAAGTCAATCCTGAGCCGGTCAGGTTCAAACTCCAAGCTGTGGCTAGAATTAGCCTGCTATATTGCATTCTAACCACTGCGCCACCAGGGCTCCAATATCTGTTTCTTCACCTGCCAATACCTCAAAGGGCTGAATAAACAAAGGGGTTTTTTTTGTGAAAAGTCCCCATAACTTTGATATCACTATAGGATTTGCCTAAATACTGTTGATATATAGAGTAGTGTTTTTCAACCTTGGCAACATTAGGACATATGGATTTCAACTCCGATGCTGCCTGAGGAATTCTGGAAGCTGAAATGCCTACATCTTAAAGTTCTCAAGGTTGAAAAACATGAATGTATAGGCATAAAAGGACTCGAATTAACATGCATACAAATCGCTAACAATTCAAATCTGTTGTCATGGTCATGTAAGCTCAATGTTTTCAATCATGGCAGACACTTCATGTAAAGCAAGTCTCATATAAAGTATTTCAAAGAGTAATAATAGATTGGTAAGGTAAAGTTACATTAGCTCAAAATGGTAAGTAAAATAAATGTTAGGAAGAAGCATATCTTAAGAAACAGCACTATTTAAAGAAAACTGCTATCTACATTTTCATTTTCCTACCTGATTTAGGATTTAGAGAATCACACTCTGAATTATACATGTGCACAAATTCTTGGTGTCTTTTAATAAGCTGTTGTTTTGTTCCCTGGGTAGACAATCCATGTTCTTTCAGTCTTTTCCTCAGGTCACGGTCAGAAAGTAAACTGTAAACCAGTTTCGGCAGTAATTTTCTTTTTTGTCCAGAACTAGGAAGAAAAAAAACATAGAGGGAAACATGTAAAAATATTTCCTGTAAGGCAAAATGAACAGATGTATATATTTTTATTCAATCTATGAGACACACATAAATATGTTACAGGGTACAAATAAGTTATAGAGTATATGTTGCAAGTTCTATTCCAGATATCGTGTTTAATGTTATTTTACTTTGACCATATTTATTTTATTTTTAACCCTCTTCAACCCCTTGCCGTGTCCCATTTCTATCTCCAACATCAATAATATACTCTTTGATTAAATTATTACTTATATCCCATTTTCCTTTCAGAGAGCTTTATTTTCTTATGCTTATAATAACACTGTGATTTAATCTAAGCCAAAGGGATAGGTCCAGCACTCAAGTAAATATTTTAAAAGCTAATAATCAAATATTTAATGAGGAATGGCACTTTTCTCTGTTATTATTATAGACAACATAAGAAAGTAGCTGATCAAACTCATTCAGGCTAATATCTCTTATTTCTCAAAAAAAAAAAAGTTGCTGCTTATTTATTTTAAAAAAATATTCAAAAACGCTAACAAAATATCAACAATCAGCAAGCCACAAAAAAGGCATATATGTAAGCACTATTTATTTAGGATTGCATACACAGATTCTGCTAATCAAAACTGACTTCCAGTCACATTCTCCCCTTCTCCCTCTTTAAAATGCAACTTCCATAGTTTGCAGAAAAATATGTGACCTTCACTGCATTCAACAAATAGTTGAACTAGCAGACAAGAATTTTGAACAAGTAATGTAGTTATGGAAGTGTAAAATTACTGCCATCGATTTCCACTTATAGATCAGATTTCCTGCCAAACCAAATTCAATCATGTACTGCTTTATTTAAAGGACCAATTTAACATACCTTCCAAATTGTATTAGGAAAATCTAGTAAAAACGGAATTAAAAGAAATACCTTGTTTTTTTTAATATGTATTTAAAAATTATTATATCTATAAGTAAACAGGTAATTACTGAAATTATATAATTATTATTCATATAACATTAGCTATATTGAAACGAGTTATATCTATTTTAGCTTAATGACAAAGTCTTCATTATATTATTTATAAACATTAAAAAAGGCACCTCTAAAAAATAAATATTTGATTTGTGAGTTTACCCCTTGTACCCCAAAGAATTTATCTTATCAGTAAACTTAGAAACCATAGTCTAGGTGTTTGAATTTATTTTGCTGCATAATGTAAATGGTACCATTTTTGCTTTAATTTATTTAAACTGCTGCCATGTACATGTATATATACTCTTTGTTTCACCATTGCTATATACTCTCCAAGTTTAAGCTCCCTATAAGATATTCTTGATACCATGTCTTTTTCCCAAAGTAGTACTATACCTTCAATCTTTAATTCTCAAACAGCTACAAGATGTTTGTTAATATTAATTATAACCACCTTGGTATTTGGCAGAGATAGAAAAGACATCTAAAAGAGTTACGTGATTCCAAAAGGGAATATAAATTCTTCAGTAATATCCTGATAAAGAGTAATATTCTGATAATCTCAATAATGCTATCACATATGTTGTATTGTAAATAAAATAGGAGATGCTACCCAGTAAATGCTATAGAACAGTTACATGTACTATATGCTAGAACTGAATCAACTAAGAAAAGAATTCAACAGAAGACCAATATTGCACTCACTTTCCATAAATACATGCTTATAAAATTAGAATACACCTCTGGTTTATATATAGTTTAATATTATTTATGTGCTTTATTATATTTTCAGTTCAACTACTCTGTTTCTCCCAAAATAAGACATCCCCTGATAATAAGCCTAATCGGGCTTTTGAGCGTATGGCAATAAGGCCAAGCGCTTATTTCAGGGTTCAAAAAAATATAAGACAGGGTCTTATTTTCAGGGAAACACGGTAGGATGCATATGTTGATAATCAATCAAAACTGAAGCTTTCTCAAAGAGCAATTCAGAAACTGTGATGGGGACAATGTAATGGACTATGAAAATAACCTTGAGAGACAGGAAGAAAAGCCTGGACAGCAATCTGACAAGAGAGAATTGAATTGAAAGGAAAATGAGGGAGAGACACTGTCTTGGAAAGGACCCTCCTTCATTTCTTCAGCTGAAAGATGTACTTTCAAACTTGCAAGATTGATCTTGCCCTTTGAGACAGAAAACCAAAATCCATGAGTACTACTGTGTTTCCCCGAAAATAAGCCCTCCCCGAAAATATTTAAATGCATGTGCAGCCGGTCCCCACCATTTCCTCTGGTTAGGGTTAGGGAGACAGAGCTGGAAATCAGGTAAGACAGCAAGAGGCTTGCTCCATGTGCCCCAAAATAATAAGACCTCCCCAAAAATAAGGCCAAGTGCTTATTTCAGGGTTCAAAAAAATATTAAAAAGGGTCTTATTTTTGAAGAAACATGATAATACTACTTTTATTGTAAGGTTACAGTAACAAAATCTTACAAGTTGAAAAGCACTTCTTCCCTCGTCTTTACTTTCCAAACAATTAAGGGTGGTACATTCTGAGATGCTTTCTTTTCCTCCATCCCTCCTTTGGATTCAATTTTCATTTCTCAGACTGTTGCCTAGGCTGTAGCTCTTCCTTCTGTCTCCCAAAGTTATTCTCACAGCTCATTACAGACAACAGCCGTGCTATGATCAAATTCAAATATTGCACCAAATAGACCTGTGCCTTTCGTATACTGCTACACTTTAAAACTATGTTTTCTTCGGCTTTCCCTTAGAATCAACTCCCTACTGAGTGTAGAAATCCAGATTAAATCATCCATTACATTGCTGAGCAGCTTCTACTTCAATACAGATTCTAGAATCAGAATCTGCCTTTCTGTAACTTAAAGGCATTATTCTGTATCCTGCATTGTGTGATGACATTATCATTGACCTTCCTTTAGTGATCTCCTTTAAGTACTCAAACAATGCTATAATTCCCCTTCTGAGTTTGTTGAAAATTATGCACATCTAATGAGAGCCAGTTTGGTATAGTGATTAAGGCATCAGAATACAAAATGGAAGACCATGGGTTCTAGTGCCGGCTTAGGAACAAAGCCAGCTGGGTATTCTTGGGCCAATCACTTTCTCTTAGCCCTAAGAAGGAAACAATGGCAAACCATTTCTGAAAAACTTTGCCAAGAAAATCACAGGGACTTGTCCTGGCAGTCTCTGAGAATTAGAGAGGATTTGGAAGGGGGGGGGGGGAACGCATGCTACAACTAACTCAATATGTTGCTATTGAAATAAATTAGCATATGGTACCAATGTTACATTATAACTCACCATGGCTAAACCTTAGTGAAAACAATCTCCTTAGGTACTGTTTCAAACAGTACCTAAGCCTAAATAAAAATAATCCATTTGATACCAGAGGGAAAGCACATTCTACACATATATAAATCATTACACCCACAGATAATCATGAAAATCAACAAATGCTCAAAAACCTGTCAAACTAAAGATGCCAGCAATTATTCAAAGTGATAGGGAGAAATCTCTACGGAAATAAAATTACTTACAAACATTTGTCATTATCTTTCAATGACAAAGGGCAAGCTAACAGTAAGTCAGTGATATTATACATTTCGGATTACTTATTGTTTTATCATAGATAATAAAATACAGAACAGTAAAACAAACAAACAAAATAAAACAAAGCAAAAACATACATTCACCCTAACAACAACAAAAAAGAAAAAAATAGCGTACAAAAAAGGAGGAAAAAGGTCAATTAGAGTTAACATTTAACATTCACCCTTGCTAAGTGCTAAAAGAAAAGAAAAAGCAATAAATTATCCTCCCCCTTATATATACCGTACATGTACACACACACACACACACACACAGGTGAAACTCGAAAAATTAGAATAGCGTGCAAAAAGTTCATTTATTTCAGTAATGCAACTTAAAAGGTGAAACTAATATATGAGATAGACTCATTACATGCAACGCGTGATAGTTCAAGCCTTGATTTGTCATAATTTTGATGATGATGGCTTACAGCTCATGAAAACCCCAAATTCACAATCTCAGAAAATTAGAATATTGTGAAAAGGTTCAATATTCTAGGCTCAAAGTTTCCCACTCTAATCAGCTAATTAAGCCATAACACCTGCAAAGGGTTCCTGAGCCTTTAAATCCTCTCTCAGTCTGGTTCAGTAGGAATCACAATCAGGGGAAAGACTGCTGACCTGACAGTTGTGTAGAAAACCATCATTGACACCCTCCATAAGGAGGGAAAGCCTCAAAAGGTAATTGCAAAAGAAGTTGGATGTTCCCAAAGTGCTGTATCAAAGCACATTAATAGAAAGTTATGTGGAAGGGAAAAGTGTGGAAGAAAAAGGTGCACAAGCAGCAGGGATGACCGCAGCCTGGAGAGGACTGTCAGGAAAAGGCCATTCAAAAGTGTTGGGGACTTTCACAAGGAGTGGACTGAGGCTGGAGTCAGTGCATCAAGAGCCACCACATACAGACGGATCCTGGACATGGGCTTCAAATTATTGTATTCCTCTTGTCAAGCCGCTCCTGAACAACAAACAATGTCAGAAGCGTCTTACCTGGGCTAAAGACAAAAAGAACTGGTCTGTTGCTCAGTGGTCCAAAGTCCTCTTTTCTGATGAGAGCAACTTTTGCATCTCATTGGGAAACCAAGGACCCAGAGTCTGGAGGAAGAATGGAGAGGCACACACTGCAAGATGCTTGAAGTCCAGTGTGAAGTTTCCACACTCTGTGTTGATTTGGGGAGCCATGTCATCTGCTGATGTTGGTCCACTGGGCTTCATTAAGTCCAGGGTCAATGCAGCCGTCTACCAGGTGATTTTGGAGCACTTCATGCTTCCTTCCGCAGATGAGCTTTATGGGAATGCTGACTTCATTTCCCAGCACGAATTGGCACTTGCCCACACTGCCAAAAGTACCAAAGCCTGGTTCAATGACCAGGAGATTACTGTGCTTGATTGGCCAGCAAACTCGCCTGAC